TAATTATAATTAGAGTTGATTAATGTATGCAAAGACCTCCAGTGAGCGCCTATCTTTGTCACATACACATATAATTTTGTGCCCTAGAGCAGCTCGTAGATATGGCTTGTTGAGCTAGAAATGCATCTAAAACTTTGAAATTCAATTTAACTAATTTTATTATGGAAATATAAAATCTGAATGCTGCCATTTTACATGCTGCACATTACTGCTGTTTGGTCTGTTTCCTGCATCTGCTGATGCTCTGCTCCTTTTGAAAAATTAAAATGGCTCTTTTTTTAAAATAAAAAAAAACTTTGAATATGCTTGTTGGCTAATCAGACTTTAAGTCAAATCAAATCTGTTATTTTATTCATACAGCCTATAAATGCAAATTTCACAAGTTGTTTTCCGAGCGTTAAGCATATGGTCATGAATGTAAGTGGTTCATGGACATATAAAAATGTTCAAATGCAGATCTAGAAATACTATCCAGCTTTTCTTCTGGAATTTATTATAGTAAGACAGTAAGACAGTTTTGCAACAGGTGGTGCTGTTGACTACTCCATCCTCACATACAGTACACTGACTAAAATGTACAGTGTAGTAGGAGCAGGATATGGTATGTAGTGAGGTACATTTGACTTTAATAAGTCCAGTGAATAGTGATTGTACCAGGATACTTTTTCTGTATAGTTTTTTTTTTTGCTCATGCTGATACACACAAACTCTTTTCATTGTACCTGCTTCAAGTGAATTCTGTTTTTTTCTAATAGAGAGAAAGAATTCCAAAATCAACAGAAACATTTTAAATAGCTATTTTTCATTGTGGTCATTGTGAAAGCTCTCTGCCGCATTCTGATGTAATGGTAATAGGAAGACCACATTCTGTTCTTTGCTAAGCCTGCAGATGGGGGAGTAGGATTGAAGTCTGTACAAGGGTCTAAGCAAAGGGGCCTTAACCTTTAGGATGGATGAGGAGGACAAAGAATTTCAAGGATAAATTTGATAAGATCCGACTCCACTTAAATGCCCTGAGAGCACAGATTCAACTGCTGAGCTACAGCAAGGGTACCGCAGTGCAAGACTGCCCCCAAGAGGAATCAAAACTCTAATACAGACATGAGGAAGTATCCTGGTTACAGCATGTTTACTTTATTTTATGAAAAAGTCTAAGAAGATATGATTTGTCTTCACTGTCTCCTAATTAAACTGTCTCCAAATTGCACTTTAAGATCCCAGTGTGGGAACAAAAATGCTGTAACATACATAAGATGAACTGAGTTGTTCACTGTGTGAATTGTCTTGTTTCATTTTGATGTTGTTTGCAGAACATTTTCCAGACCATATGTTTCTGTTAACTTATAGTAAATGATCTTCGAAATATTGGATGCAACTCATTGCCCAAGAATCTTTTCTTCTCAACACTTATAAATGTAGTTGCTTGACTAGATTTCTGAATGCTCCTTTGAGGAAGGCTGGTGAGACTTGTGGTGATGTTACTAACACACAGAAAGCGCTGGTGGATTATTATCATGTTGAAACATGGTTCTTGATTCTGTTATTCGCTTTTAAGATGCATAGTAGAGCCTACTGTTGGGGTATTGGCCTCTATTTTGTCTTGTCTAGCATCATTGAATAAACAAATATTCAAATATTCTCTTCAAATATTTAGAGACGCTTCACAGCAATTTCACTGTTGGATGTAAATGCGTCATTGAATCTCTTTCTCCTTCGTTGTTATATGTATTTTATTCTGTTTTGCAGAAAACCTCAAATTTAGAATTATCTATGCATCCATCCATTTTCTGCCACTTTAACCTATACAGGGTGCTGCCCCTGCAAGCCTCAGACACAAGACAGGATACACTCTGGATGGGATGCCAGTCCATTGAAGGGTATGAACAGACACAAACACGCACACACTCATACCAGGTCTAATTTTCCCAGAAGCCAATTAATCTACTAGTGTGTCTTCAGACTATGGGAGGAAACAGATTAACCTGTAAGAAACTCACATGAGCAAGGGCAGAACATACAAACTCCACACAGATAGCATCCAAGGAATTTACCCCAGCACTAAGAGACAGCAATTCTAGCCACTGTGCCATCATGCAGCCCTAGACTCATCTAACCATTGCATTTTTCATTTTTCTGTTGCAGCACCTTCAGATGTTGCTGTTAAGATTGGTTCTCAGTCATACATTTGACTTTGTTATTTCTTTTCTGTACAGGTTTTAGATTTTCTGTAAAGCAAATGGTATTTCTTGGAACTATTATATACTAGTGTAAGTGGTTTTTGAGTTCAGTTTGAAAGGCTTCAATGACTCAGCAATACTCTCCCATAATTAAATTAGTTGCTCAACCCAAATGTCCGGTGATTTTCGAGGATAGGTGAAGTAAAAATTGAACAGTCGACATCTATTCAAGGATGACAACTGAGTCAATAAGTAACACAAGTACAGAAAACTGTAGAGCCCTTTCACAACCAGTGCAGCTTTCTGTCGACACTTCAGAACCCTGCAAATTCATGACGGAAGGAAAAGTGGAGGACTTTATCAAGTGTTACCAAAATGCTTCTATGACTTTTAAAATATGAATCAATGTATATTTAAAGACAATGAACCATTATAGTGAACATAGTAGTGTATAGAGAACAATAGCCAGTTTGTTGGTATTCCTGAGAGAAGTTTAATCAGGTAGCTGATACCTGCAGGAGGAAGAGGTCAAGACAATGAGTGAATGGAAGATTTACTCTTGCACTTGCTTTTGGTCCACTTGAAGCCCTCAAAGAGTGACATGAAAGCACATTACAGCCAACATCTTTGCAGCAGTGTGGGAAACTAATGGATTTGGACGTGGCATTTTAGCATTTGGACAGTGGGAGGAAACTGTAGCACCTGGATAAGTACCACTTGGACAAGGTGAACTACAAAGACTCTGAGAAGGATTCATCTGTGCCAACGGACAAATTACATTCCTCCAGTAATCTCTGACTGGCTTTCCCAAAGCCCAGCTTCCTATAAAGACCCTCCCAGCTATGAAGAATGGTGGCTTGGCCTGTTTACAGAAAACACATCTCAGACCATGGATGTATTTTACACAGCTAGCTTTGTGACTTGGAAAGCTCTTCAACATGGGGAATCAGTTCTCAGGTTATCTGTGCATACTAAGAAAAGCTTTGCTGTCACATTGCATTTACCTTTAAATGAAAGAGAGAAACAATCTCCAGATATTACAAAACAAAAGATTTAGCCTGTCAATATGAATTTTTTTTCTGAGTGATTTATGTAGCCCTGTGACAGCATCCCATCCAGGGTGTGTCCTGCCTTGCATCCTTTGCTTGTTGGGTTAGGCTCTGGCAACCCCACGACCAAAAGCCGAAAAAATGGATGGATGGCTAGATGGAATACTTTCATAGGTTTCTTGTTTCAAAACAAGAAGTGAGGAAGAGTCTGGTTTATCTTCCTTCCTTGGATTCCTAGAGAAGGAATAATTACAGCTTATCTCAAACAAATTGTCCATTATGAAGCTCTGACACATAAGAACATTATCTAGTGCCAAAGCTATAAGAAAGATCTCAGGCGCTAATAAAGGAGATGGAAATGAGCTTTAGCAAGGGACTATGAGGGGCTTACAATATTCTCTACATGCCCCATTCTCCAATAGCCACAATTTGTTTGATTCATTTTAATGTATTCCATGGCAGTCTCTGTAAAAACAATGACAGTTGCCATTATTGGGGAGATTATAGCAACAAACTGTATTTTATTTTTCCATTGAGACATTGCTTAGCTACCCTTAGAAGTGACAAAACAAGCTAATGAAGGCACATTTGGTTTATATATCGCAATTGGATTTTAATTTTTGTGGAATTTAAAGCAAACAGCTGTCATTAATAGTATTTTTCTCTTGAATTAAAATGTTTTCGTTAACATATCTTGAAAACTTGACGCTTTTCACTTAATAAAGAGCTTTGTATTCTGTATGCTTGTTTATACTGTATATTTAACTATAACAAAGAGAAATCCAAAAATATCTTATAAAACCTTTTTTGTATGCCACTAGCCTTAATTGGCCAGAATAAAAGAAAAACATGTAAAAAAAACCAACCATAAATATGGTCCTGCTGTTTTTTTATCCATTATTTATTTCCAAAAATTGTAAATCAATAAAGAGGTTTTTTGTATTTTACATCAGTCTCTGTAAGCTTCAAGCTCACCCATTAACAGCTCCAGGCTAATTGTGTGAATAGAATCACTGTTTTCTTGAGACACTCAATTTGCTGCTGGTCGGATCATTAGGCATCAACTACTCCTTGTAGTTGAACAAGGCATTTGCAATTGAAAAGCACACAGGTGTGAAGCGAAGCATGTGATGAACAATCGTGTTCCTGTATTTTTTGTGAAAAGCCTGTGACTTCATCTGTGTCAGCAGAGGGCGCCTGATATTAGATCTACAGTATGATCGGTTAAACAGAGGGGCGTCGGGTGGCTGTTTTGTAATTGTAATTTATTATATGCTCATACTTCCGAGGGGGCCTGCAATAGCATACTGTAAATGTTCTTGAGTGACTAACGTATTTTTTATTATAATGTAGGTTTGTTTGTTTGTTTTTTCTCGGTCAGGCTAGGTTGTGTCTTTCTGTTACATATACTGTATTAATATGAAACAAGAAAGAAGTCTTTCAGAAATCAAAATTACTGTATATTGCTCAATAATACTATTGTTATATTCCATATAAACTGTTTTGTTTGGAAAAGTTATTAGGAGTAGTATCTCAAAATCTACTGTTTTTCCCACTGCAAAATGAAGAAAAAAAGTAGATATTTTCAGACTCCTGTTTTTCATTCAGCAGCAGTGTAGCTCCTAATCATCGTAGTTTAATTAATCCCACGATTCACTAAATAGACCACATTCACATGCATTGTCCTCTAAAGAGCTAAGAAGAACATTCTGATAATTTTGCTTATGAAACTTTTTGAGCCTTTGAGATTGTTACAGAAGATTAAAAGAACAAATTTGTTTTCACTTGCTTTATTTGCCATTACATTGCAGATGTGCTCAGACTTCAGGTTTAAACCGTACATCCGTTTTAGAACAATATAAATGTTCTGTAAGTATCATGAAATGAAAAGCATGTATAAGAAAACAGTATCAGCAATCTACTGCTGCAACTCTAATAGTTTTGAATTTTGGAAATCCCTAGACATGCAGTGAAATGTTTCACTAGCGTTGTTCTGGAGATTTTGATTTTTTTTTTAGCTAAATGCTTCTTATTTTAGACAAAAGCATCTTCTGAGCAAAGGAAAGAAGAAAGGAAAGAAGCAGATAGTGCAGAGGCATCGTTTCTGATTTTCCTCAGAGGCTGTTCACCACCAACAGAGCCGAAGAATCCGACAAATGGTTCTTGCAGAACTGCGATGCAGAAGTTTTGTAACGAGTCGTGCCCCATAGTTTCTAACGAACTTTCGACACAGGTTTTTAATCAAATGAGTGGTATCGCACAATGAATTTAGCACTCTTCTAACATGTCCCTGTTAAAAAAAGGAAAAAAATGTGATTTCACTGGTAAACCCACAGGATAAAGCTTGAAAGTAGAGAAGAAGCACTACTATTTTAATTCCCAGAATGCTTAGTAAAGTGACAGTTGAAGAAGACTACAGTTTTTTTTATGAGTGACTTAAGAGTTAAAGGTTCATTTACATATCCCATTATTTTTTATTTTTTTAGGACGCTTAGCAAGTTAGTAAATTTTGCATTATACTTCTACGAAGACCAGTTTGCACCATATTTCCCATTGTCCATCTGTTATTGAATCATTCTTAAAATGTTTATTTATGTCGTACTGCTCTCGGCATCCTCACCCTAGTTTCATGAGGCCTTAATTTTCTCATGGCTTCCATCACAACAGTTCTGCAGACAAAGCACACACCAGGGATCTCCTCCGTGGCATTCAGGTTCTTTGGTACAGTGGTACATTGCGCACGTTAGCAGACTAAACAACATTAACAATCACAGTAATAATGAAGGAAATGAAACACTAAAACACTGTTTGTGGGGAGCTAACAATTAATACTAAACATTGCTAGGAATTTCAAATGAAAATTTAACACTGTACCACAGAAATTAGCTCCTGTCTTCTCAGTCCAGATAGATGTTAGTGATACAGACCATGATCGTGGTATTTATGTTTAAAGAAGAACATTGCCATTAATTTTACTATACAGGCATTGTGATTATCTACAAATGGATTAATCTAATGATCTAACATTAGATGAAATGGAACATTTTTCAAATTGTAAAAATAACACCAAAAAAAGCCAAATATATTTAGGTTATAATGAAGAAAAACTTGAAAACAAAAAAAACATTGTGGGTCTCATTTATATACAAACCTGTCTAGAGTTTATGTTTTTATTAGCTCGTCTGCAAACGTGTAGTTGCAAAACATGCCAGAGATTCCTTATCCACTAGTGATACTGAATAAAAAGAATATTGATCAAAACATCTTTATGAACAGCCTTACCATCAAATCCAAAATTTCCTTGTCCTCAAAGGTAAATTTTGGATCATATTCAGCCAACACTGTGAACAGTATGAAAAAAAGACACCATCAAAGTTTATATACTGTAACTGTACTGGCACAGTGGGGCAGATTCATAAAGGTCAAGCAAAGAAACACTAAAATTACTTACACAACCTCCCTACCCCTCACTACCAGAGCGGAAGAACTTGCTTCCCTGCTGCAAAAGGGTCATGCTATACATTACTATTTCTATACAGTAGAAATCTGTTTTACATGTTATTATTCTTTACTCTGAATGATTTAGCTGATATTAAGGATTTAAAAAGGAAGGAGAGAAATACGAGGGATTTCTCCCTATTAGCTGAGATTGTAGAAGCTCTTGTTAAAAAAAACTGTTTTGGTTTTTAAGGGGATCCAAATGCAACTTATATTTTAAAATAATATAATTCCTATTTTTTTCTAAACATCATCCTCAAGTGGTAAACCACTCACTGTAGCATTAAATTGCTAGCCTCTTCTGTTTCACACAAAGTTACAAAAAAGGAGGACGCCATTTAACCCATCAAGCTTATTTAATAGTAGTAATTAATTAATCTGAGGATACTACTACAATTATTATTATGATTATTATGATGATTATTATTATTGTTGTTGTTGTTGTTTCCAGAATCATACATTTTAAAACACAGATAATCGGCAAAGATGGTAAAGATGAACAGATAATACATTTATTCCTCACATTTTTTAATTACTGGCATTTTCAACTATTTTTACCGTTTTGCTTGCAGCTCAGCAATCGTTCAAAAGTACACCTTTATTTGTTTTTTGTTCACAATCATTGGTCAAAATGAAAAGGAAAATTATTGATTATAGAAGACAGTTCTCTTTAAGTACATCATACATGCCTTCCTGAGAATCAAGAAGACAGTGATCCTTACAGGTATCACAGCATCAGTTCATAGAGAGAGAGTACCTTGTATTGTATGAGAGGTCACCTGTCTCTGGTTACCTGATAGTTCTCACCTGAACAGAAGAGCAGGAGGGGCAAGAGCCACACAGGAGACATCCTGAGATGCTTCAGTCAAGGGTTGCATCACAAGACAGGTCTCAGAAACAGGATCTTTTATACACTCCAACTGTTCCTTAAAACATATTTTAAAAAAAAGTGTGATTTTGATCGTGTGGAATTGAAGCCTAACATGGAGGTATTAAGAGGTTTTGTGGTTAATTCAGAAGTGTGGTGAACAAAAGTGACAGAACCACTAACACATACAGTTTTATCTTTTTGTTCTTCCTTCATTTTCATTACATTCTCTATTACTCACTTGCGCAAAGCACCAGCACTGTAGGAAAACAGAGTAACAATTTAAGTTAAAATGTGACACTGCTGAATAAAGTAGCACAATACAAGAGTTTTACCAACCACTTATTTTCCAGTGCGAATGTAATAGAAGGTGTCATTGCATTTTCAAAATGGAAAACAAACTACTTTTGGGGTTGACACAGTAATAATGCTGGGTCCCTAACTTTGTGGGATACTATCTGCAGGGAATTTGTACTGTATGCTGTCCCCGTGTTTGTGTGGGTTTCCTCCAGGTGCTCCGGTTTCCACTCACGGTCCAAAGACATACTGGTAGGCTAATTGACTTCTGTGAAAACTGGCCCTGGTTTGAGTGTGTGTGTGTTTGTGTCTGTGTGCCATCAAGGGTGTATTATACCTTTTGCCTGTTGCTTGTTGGCATAGGTCCCAGTTCCTTTGTGACCCTGTATTGGATAAAATGGTTAGAAAGTGGATGGATGGATGGAGCTACTGTACCTTTGGGGAAACTGAAATGAGCAAATCAGGAGAATTCATGTGACATTACACAATACATAAATATGATTGAGCTGTTTTCCTTACCAGGGAAAAAAGTCCAATATTAGTGTGGTGCTAAAAGCTTGATCCTTATAGTTGTTTTTCTTACTGTATGCCTCCGTGAGCACCAGTCTCTAAAGTAGTTCCTCAATCACCATAGTCTCTTCTATGTTTTGTTTCATTATCAGTTATAACTTATTGTATGTAGTCTAGTTATTTTGTTTGTTCCATTTTCTTTTTCAGCATTCTGGTAATGGATGGGTGGATGTTCTGCAAACACAATAAAACTGTACATATTATTTTATTTAGTAGTTTGAGCTTGTGTTTTATGTTGTTTTCCCAGACAGTTGACAGTTGCTTGACAGTTCTCCATTTTCAGTTCAGTTTATTTTCATATGCACACGTGCAATGAAATGCTTATTTGCATGTATGCTCCAATACAACTACATTAAGGAAACACCAAAAACCTAAACACAGAACAGCAGCAGCAACAACAAATTCAATAACAAACAACTTACAAAAACAACATCAGTGTGAGCCAGTGGTAGGAATACATTTTAGTAGGACACATTAGTTTGAAGAACAAATATTTGACAGTAAATGTGATTCAAGCATTCTGGATTTAAGGCTCAAATCCTTTTTGTCAAGTGAAACGAAGGCTAAAGATGTCATCTCTGTATAATCAAATTTTTTGCTTCTTTATTTTGAAGGACTCTACAAACTCTGTACTTCATAAAGGGTTTCCTTAAAGTGAAAAGATGAATTCTAATTAGATCCAGTCTACTGCATCCCTCCATGTGTTGAGATTGAGATCTTTGTTTTAAAGCCAGTCTGTGCTTTACCTCCCTCTAACAGTACCTTTTCCGTTTATCTCCTGCTTTGCCCTTGCTCCCACATCTCCATCAAGCAACGGATTCCAATTCTGAAACTTCAGAACATGGAACTTCCTAGTTTTTGATCCTGCTGAGCTCTCATTCATTTAATTAGACTGATCATTTACTTAATTCGACCTTTTTTATAGACTGTACAGTTTCTAAAAAGGTGGGGGTTTCAAATTAAGTAAAGGCTTTTTAATGCACTGTGAAATTTACAACCTTTTAGAAAATGAACAAGATTAAAAAGCTCTAATTATTAGTTATTAGTTCAATTAAGTAACTGAGATCTCAAGCTGAAACAAAAAGTCAGAAAGACTTGACATCCTAAGGACTGAGAGTGAGAACATTGCCTTTTAGGAAACCTTACAAAGACATTATGTATCTGCATTAATGCAGGAACAGATGAGATAGGAGCCTGGCTATGAAAAATAACAGAATTATGTAAATCACATACCCGATGAATAATTAGCTTCAGGATAGGTTTAACATGTTAAGTCACAGCACTACTGATTTTTCATTTCTCATATTTTTATGTTCATAGTGTTGTCAACATAAAATCCCTCCAATATAAATATATAATAGATTTTTGTTAGTGTTCGGGATAGAATCATCAGTTGGTTTAGGATAAGAGCACTCAAATGTCCAAATGTGCCTAGTAAAACTGTTGACATTGGAACCACATATTGAAATGATTTGAAGAACTTTGGTTTTACTTTTTATTTTATTTTTTGCATAGATCTTCTCCAGGTGCCCAAGTGTCCCTCATAAACATGCTGGCTAGGTGAATTGGTTTCTGCAAATAAAGTAGTACTTGCAAACACACATACTCTGCTAAATTAGCACCCTATACAAGGTGCACAGGTATCCCTACTTTTTTTCTCATGCTTCTGGGTTAATATCTGTATTGATAGTGGATCATTGGAGGTTCTGCAAATTATGCATTGTTTTATTAAGTAGTTCAGGTGGGTAGCTGCATCAGCATGTATACTGTAGGCTGCAAAGGAACAAGTAATAGGTTTATTCCATGCTTAAAAGAGAAGAAAGAAAACACAAAGTTTCGGCCATGGAGCCTTCTTCATGTGTGTATCTGAAGAGGACACAACTGAAGAAAGCTCCACATACGAAACATTGTGTTTTCTTTCTTCTCCTTTCAGCATGGAATAAACCTATTACTTGTTTTATTAAGGAATGTAAATAGCTGTTTGTGTTATGTTGTTTTAACAGGCACTTAGCCTGAGAGATCTGCATTTTAGCAGAACATTTCTAGAAGGAGACAGCAAGAAGAAAGAAGTAGAGAACAGCAGAAAGGAGCTGCAGGTTGTTCTCATGTAGCATACTGTACTTGTTAGTTTTTGCAGCTTAAATGGTAAAATAGTTTTTGATCCCCTTGTGCAAAATCTAAAAAAAAATTAAAAAGCAATATTTATTATTGCTTTAAAGTCATCATTAGTATGTATTATTTTTTGTCATACAGATTTTTGTTGATGTTGGCTTACACTGCAAAAGATGTGTGAAAAGATGTTTGTGAGAAATGTCTTTCATAAGCTGTTGCTTCACTGACTTCTGCTTTCCATTTCTTGAAAGACTGCCTTGTATCATGAGGTTTGGATGTGTTAGATAGCATGCAATGTGTGCTGCAGGTCATGTTTAACATTTATTATCAGAATTATTTTTTTTCAAAACTCTTGTGCCTCCAAGATTTTAAGGTAAACTATAAACACATCAAATTTGCTTTTGATCAATACTAGAAATAGTCAGAAGTAAATTAATTTAAGATTAATGATTATCTAGCACACTTAAGTACTCTAATGTTTTATTCAATTGAGACAGAATATTTCACATATTCAAGGTCTATCAAGGCTAGGGTGTAGGGCTATGCTAGAGCTACCGCAGTCTCTACTCCCTTTAATTTTTCCCCATTTTGTGTTTATGATAGAGCTCATCAAAAAAGGCTGGAACCACATGGGAAAGTATTAATTAGGCCAGCTGTAGGGCTGTTCTGAGTTAATTGAGCCCAGGTGTTGTCTTTCAAGTCGTGTGTTCAGTGGATATAAGGGAAAGGCAGATGGTGGCTCTTGTGTGTTAAGATCAGGTAGTTGTAAATTGGTTCATATATAAACACTATATATAAGGAAAGAAGAAGGATGTTTTAGATTTTTTTCTGAAGAGCAAAAGACAGATAGCATTTTTTCTGTCTCTGGGTTTATTTATGTTTGTGGTAAAGTAAAGCTTTCAAAGGAGCAGTTTTTCTAGTGACAATGAAGTGCTAGGATATCCATCTTGCACTAACAAAGCACTATCTCTCACTTTGTTAGAGGGTGAACCAGTGTCCCAGAGGCATCACAACACGTTAAACCTAAAAGTATAGCCACCATGTTTTAAGACATAATACAAAACAAGCCTCAATATCCAAATAACTAAATATTTAAGAGAGCATATGAAACTCTGATTGTGTTTCAAAATTTTCTATTTTTATATTGTAGTTATAATGACTCATATTTATGTTATGAGGAAAATGTGGAAGTCCGGCATAGAATACAGGGAAGTAATTTATTATAACTTCTGCACCTAGAAGCTATGACCATAATTATCCATTAGGTGTCACTGTCAGCCTTTGGCTTAACCTCATCAGGCATTTTGCTGCTCCTTTCTCTTTAGCATGCTGTGAGGCACTTCTGTAATTACTTCTGTAATTTTCAGAATGGTATATTACTCAACACTTTATTAGGTTATATAAAGCCCCTATGCAAATAAAACTTAAACCCGAAAATCTTAAGTTAATCAAAATATATGACCACTAACATACTGTAGATAAGGGCTGCAAATCCCATGTCAGAATTCTTTATGATCTGTAACATGGAAATTGGCCATATCGATAGATACTTCTGTTTAAATAACTTGTTTCAGCTCCTCATTATCTTCTCTGTTCAAAAATAAGAGAGCTTACAAATGAGAGGAGGCCAGACAGCCTGGTAGTTAATTGATAAAAGATATTTGATTTAAGGATCTCAACCAGCTGTTCCTTGAAGGAAGCCAGGATATTGGTTGCAACAGCATTGCTGGGTAGCTTGTTTCACACTCACAAACCCTTTGGGTAAGTAAGTGCCTCCAGTTCTCAGTTTTAAATGTGCTTCTACATACTGTACGGTAGCAGTAGTTTCCACTTGTGTCCTCTTATTCTTTTGTCTCTGTATTTATTCTGAAGTACCCTGGGTTGACTTTGTCAAAGTCGTTGAGATCTTTGAATACTTGTACCAGGATACATTCTTCTCTCCAAGGCTAAAAAGGTTCGGTTCCAGCAGCCTTTTATTGTAGGTCATCTCCACTGTAACATACAGTAGGTTCTTAACAGACGTGAGTGTGTTTTCTTTGAAAGGGAACATTAGCCCCTTG